CAGATAACAGAATTCAGAAAAATGGAAAATGAAAAATAGAAAATTGAAAAATCCATGCAACGAGGATAGGAGATGGAGTTATACTCGTAGCAGATATTATCTTGGGTTCGGCTGGACCTCAAGTGGGCTGAAACTCGGGTCAGTCAGCTGACGACTGGCAAAGAAAATAAATAAAACTAAATGAAATCCTTTTCTCGAGCTCTCCCTCCACATCTATTTCATTGTTGACAGTCCGGTTCATTGAAGCGTTTATCATCTGGGAGATCCGAAACTTCAGATATGGCAGTATGGACCTCACTGTGGGTGCCATTGATAACTGGCCAGAGATCTGTGCAGCTATTCATCCGCAACTAATCTGCGTTTGCCATAATTATTTGCTCCGGAATGGAGATCTCGTCGGAACCTGCTCTCCAAAATTAAGATGATGATGCGCAAAATGTCCTTCTTATCGTGATATATCTGTATTTACCTTTTGGCCTCTTTTTTTTTTTTGCTGCCCTTCCTGCATTTAAGTGTAATGTATAGGGATTTGTGTGCTGATTTTGTGACCACCAAGAAGGCAGTCGAGATTAAAATCAATTAGCCATAAAATGCAACATCTCAATTTGGCATCGACTGCGTGGGCGAAACACTCCACATTCCAAATGGGCGTGACTGGGGTTTGCTAAACGATTGTTGGATATTAAAGATTTTACGAGGGGTAATAAAAATGTGGTACATTCGAGCAGAGTACAAAAGCAATGGGGAATCACAATTTGTGCACTATTGATTAGATTTCTTGTCTTCTTTAAAAAAACTTAATATGCATCTAATGATCCAAATGGTCATTTATGTGACCCTTTCTCCAACCTTTCCACAAATGAAAGCCAATTTGTCTGTCTTTAGAACCTTATTTCCCGACAATTTTCATGTCTTAACTACATTAAAATTCATGATTCCCCAAATATACCCATCTTACAACTGATGGAGGTCGTTGCCGCGACTGCTGTTTAATATTTTCCACGCATCATCATTTGGTCAACTTCCTTCCGTCTTCGCTTGCAGCAAATCGGCTTATAGAAACGATTTCCTCCAGAGTTTCCGCCAGAGTTTCTATTCCGTCGCCCTTAAAAGTCTTGGCAAACAGAACTGCGGCAAGGTATGTAAACTTGACTCCTAGCCCAACCGAAAGGGGGCCCGATCGGCATTCAGATAGAGCCGAAAGGAAAACAACAGCGTTCTAAGAAGCCAACAGAAGCATTAAAAGCGGTGGGGAGCGTTGCACGTACGTACGCGTTTCTAGACAAACCAGTTGGACGTGCGCCCTTTGGAGAAAAATCAGGAAAAACAGCAAGACGGCAGAGAGAGAGAGAGAGGACTGTACCCTTGTACAGTGAACGCCCTGGAACGGATGGCAGTACCAGTTTGGAGCTGGAGCTGGAGCTGGAGCCCACAAACAAACAAATAAGCGTGCAGCCATAGAGCTGCGAACTGAAGCGATCTGGGATATGCTACAATGCCACATCTGGTGGAATGGAGTTTTGGGGAGGTAGGGAGTGAACTTGGCCGTGATTGCACAGTAAAATCGCAGAGGAAGAAGGCGACATGCCTGCCATAATAATGGGGTTTAGGTGGGCCCCATGGCACTGCAAGAATAACTTAAAAGAAAAACACTGATCTTGTTCTTTTCTTATTTGAGTACGTTTTTGTTAATTCATTTATTAACTACGATTATAAGGACTGATGATAAGTCTTAAGCAATCCTTCTTATAAGTAAATTGTACATAAGTTCCTTCAAGATTAAAATCTTAATTAAAATAAATTCAATTTATTAAAATATATCATCTACATGTTATTCTATACTATACCTCTCTCTTTGAAGCTTTAGAAATTCTAGATATTGTTAATATTTTTCTCAGTGATTCAAAAAAGGCGACGAAAGGGGGCAGGAATGTAAATGTTTATGTATCTATGGGATGCCTTACATATGCACACATCCATTTATGTATGTAAGAGACCTAGGCGATCCACCTAAAGGTGACTGATCTTTACAATTCGACACTTTGACTTTACAAACGAGAAAGAGGAATCGGAAAAGGGATTGGAAATGGGAATGGGAATGGGGTTTGGGAAGGGGTTTAGGATGGGGTCTTCGGGATAGGGAACAGGGAGTAGGGGAATGGGGTTTTGAACCCAACGGACAGCGCAATCAAAACAAAATCCATCGAACACTGGCCCACGTTGAAAACAGAGTTGTAGAAAACGAAACCAAACCAAAGGTGAGGCGAGGGCAACAAGCCAACGAAACGAAGACATAAAACAAGTATCCAGCTATCCAGCTCTAAAAAAAAAGGATGCACGACTCGCATCCATGAGATACTCGGAGGCAGGGTCAAGGCGAACGGAGATTTACGTACTTTTTTAGGCATGGCTTATGATGGATTTGCTCGGCTGAGCATGCTAATGGATTTTTGGATTTTCTTCTCTTGCCCCGAAGACGAGGATCCGACATATATTTTTTGGAAACATTAAAAAACATTGAATACATCAAAGCTGCTCGGGAAATGCGATAAATGTAAATGGATATGATGGGGTTAGGCGGAGTAAACCAGTTCTAAATGAAAACGTATACACACATACTACACAGCATGCAGAACTTGTTGAGCTGGCAGCTGGCCGAGGATTTTCATGCTCCGTTCTTAGCTTTAATTTGGTCCGTTTCGTATTAAAGCTATATGGTAAATGGTAAATCCACCCTGCATAGCCTATACGAACATGCTGAGTATGCGTTATTTTTATGACGGAATTATTACATCATTCATCTTCATCAGGCGACAATGACACAGCTACAGACTTCGTTCGTGCTTATCAAGCGACTGCATAATTTCTTGACCAAATCGCAGGGATGCGGGCTCTAGGGCGGCTGGGAAAAAGTCTTGAATGCAAATGACTGTCTCGTCTCTCTGATTTGTAATCAAATTAAATTGTGTTTTGTGCAAACAATGAGCGACAGGCGACAACATCGCATCTGTGATAGTAGCCCAAATTCCTTGGAAACGCCAAAGTCAGGCCGGAAAATGCAGTTTTCCCACAGTTACGGAACAGCTCCACTCGCTTTCTAGGGAACTCCCCCACCCCCTCCAGTCACCACTCAGAACTGAAAACCTCATAAATTCTCACTTTTTGGCAGGCCGCACACGGCGTGGGGAAATTCGAGGCGGCAGGACTCGAAGGACACAGCGCCAGCCATGAATAGACATTCCCGAGATAATCAACGGCATTATCTGCTGATTATGTGTTCTTGGGGCATTCCAGGAAATTGTGAATTGTGAAAGGAGCGGCGAACTCGCAAAAAATATCGAACTATATCCGGGATGATCGGCGGATGATGAGGATGCCAGCCAGGACACCCCGGTGAATGAGTGGCTGAGTATCCGCTTTCCTTTTTTCCTTACATTTTTTTTTTTTTTTTTTTTTTTTTGCAAACTCCCTGTGAGCCCATCGTAATCATCATCAAACCCTCGGTCACTTGAGGTTTAAGCCAACATTAAAAAAAGGAGCCGAAAAAAAAACACCCAAAAACGAAGGAAATCAGTGGAATAAACGTGAGAACACCGAATGTCCTCGTACAGAAATTTGCTTGGGCTCCTCATTGTTCATTGAAGTGCTCGAGAGAGATTTGCTAGTTGTGTCCTTATTGTTTGCGGGTGTATGAATGAATGAATGAACCAACGAACGAATGAATAAGTTCACGTCCGCATAAATTATCTGAGTATCTGAGGGATTGCCGCGTTTTTAGCTGGAAACCAATGAGTCCCGGATGCAATCGAGGCGTGAGAAGGAGGCGATCTCGGCGGCCTTGGCAACAAGTCTATTACGACCAGTCACTTGTTTATGGCTTACGTAACTTGGGTGGCAAAATGCTGTGAAAATCTGAAAATCTTAGATTGTGAAAACATCGTTACCCTGATTGCTGCGCGTTGGGTAAACACAATTATAAAGCAACAGCACTCACATCCTGTTTACCCTTGACCGATTGCAAATGCAAATCGCACATTAGAAGCCATGTGCAACTTTCCGCCCAGCAGTCAAACATTATGCAACCAAAACTGAAGGCCGTCTGATTCATTGATGGCAAATGGCAGGGAAACCCATTTGGGACACGTTTTTATGGAGGTGCGAAATGGCACATATATTCTTCTCGTGTTTTTTGTTTTTTTTGACGAAACCTGCCGCGTCATTGAGTCCTTTTTAGAGCCTGTGCAACCTGTGCCGCAAGCCTTGCAATTTGTCACCTGAGGCGACATTCAAACTGCCAACGCATTCCAGCTGAGTTTTTGCTGTTGGCCGTGGCCGTTGCACTGTTTCACCGTTTCACCGTTTCGGTTTACTGGCTCCTTTCATTTGGCCACGATTTGGTAGCAACAGTTTTGTGAATTGAAATCTAAGGACCGACCGTTACGAATATTCATTCATTGCGGCACACACTCTGGGGACCTTGAATGGGGCTTCGATTTTGGCTCTATGGTTTCATAAAATATTTATTAAATTTCCAACGAAAATATTTGTGAGCAGTTTGCCAAATCATTTCCGACTGCAAAAGGGTGAGAAACTTACCCAGGCCTCTGCGTACTGAGAATGCAATTTATATTTATGCAATGCAAAAGGTTTGAGAAGGAAAACCCCCAAGGAAAAACCAAGATTCCGGGTAAAATCAGGGATATTAGGGGAATTAATGACACGGAATTTGCCATTTTTTCAATGAAAAAATGTTTGACTGCCTGCGAAAATATAATTGATAGTGAAAACACCCATTTCATGCCGCAATTAATAAAATTGAAAAAAAAAAACATGCAAAAGAAATGATCTGAAATAGGATAAATCTATCCTTAAGAAATAAGAGAAGCCCTAAAGGTAATTAATTGGGGTGAATTGTTATAGTATTTATGTTTTTTTACTAGTTGGAAATAATGTTTTCATATTAGTATTAAACCAAAGTTGCCTTTTAACTACATGTCAATGTGAAGTTTAAAATATAAAAGCCTTATGTTGGTAATCAACTTGTAAGCATGGAGAACTCGAATTGGAGCTCCCTGGCTTCGCTGGAATCTCTGGTGGTGTCAAATGTGTCTGAAGATTTACCTGGTTATCCGGGAATAGATAATATATCGAAGGCCGAAGGTCCAAAGTCAAAGAAACCCAGGAAAGCTGATTATATGAAGGACTTTTCCATGCCCAAAGAAATGGCCAGTGCCTATAAAATGGAGACAGGTTAGAGGCGAATTTCTTGTTGATTAATTAGTTTAAATGAAATATCCATACCAGCTCGCTCTCAGTCGCTGCAGGCGGAGGCCTTACCGTACCAGCCCGCTACAGTGGTCATCCAGCCTCCCAAACAATTGCCTCCGGAGGCAGAGAACGATCGGCGGATGTATGTGCCCGATTTGAATCAAGCCATTACCCATCGCGATGTATTCAACTACTTCTGCAACTTTGGGGATCTGGAGCGAGTGTGCGTAAGGAATGGTACGGATAACTTGAACTATGCCATGGTCCTCTTTAAACGCACTGCCGGCATGGAACAGGCCATCAAATCCAATTCGCACGTGATTAAGGGACACCATTTGAGCTGCCGCAAGGCCACTGAAAGATATAAAAATAAGTCAGGCAAACAGACCTTTGAGTTATATGATAATAAACGGGAAATCTCTAAGAAACCGGAACCAAAGTCGCCGATTAAGCCAACTGAACCTCCTGTTCGACAGCGAAAGATAGAGGATCCCAAAAGAAGTATCCAACAGGAGCTGAATAAGACTTCCAAGCCACTGCGCAGGTCGAAACGAATTCAGAAACAAGTAGAGTCGAAGGCAAAGAATCGAGTGACTCCCAGCAAATCGGATAGGAACTTTGTATATGCAGTGACCACAAAAGATGGGATCTCCCGCTGGAGTTTCAAGTTGTCCAGGTTGAATCTGAGTGTGGACGAGCAGAGGGTAATGGGAAAGGGTCTTCCACAGACGGCAAAGACTCTCCTTGCTGCACGAACTGTGTCGTCAAAATCCCCCAAGTCGAATGCTCCGAAGAGTCCAGGAACCATTTGTGATCCTCCAGAACCTACTCGTGATCCACCAGGACCTCCTTCTCCTCTCACACCCTTGCCCTTCCTACTGACTCGTACTCCCCTGGTTCCCCTGCCCAAAAAAATCATTTCAGAAACCGTGAAACCCGATCTAAGGTCCGTTATTTTGTCCACTTTGGGTCAAAATTACGTTCATCACTGCTATACAAATGTGGAGGCTTATCGGAGGAGCAAGTGCTATATCGATATCCTACCCGATGAGAGGATTAAGCGTCCTTCAATCAAGAAGTATGTGGATCAAATGTATGGAGTAACAGAATAGGAATGGTCATCCTACTTTTAAAATCGCAAATACATTTACTTATCAAACGAAAATCGAACATTTTTTCATCTTTCAGTTTGTCTCCCAATCTATTTTAAAGGAAACCCCAAAGGATGTGTACCTTATTCCTAGAACATATCAAAGGAGTTGTTTGAATGAAATGAGAAAATATTATAAAGTTAATTCCACTTACAACCTGGGGGCACTCCAATTGCAGCAACCTGTCAACATAATTAATCCCCTGGATCAGCTGATGGCGGCATTACCCTCATTGAATGATCCACAAAATATGAACAATTCATAAGAGACAAGGGAATGCGATGAAAGAGAAAAAAAAGTGGGCCTTGATTTCTTTTTAGCCTCTGTTTTGCCCGACATTCCCAAGGATGTGCCTCCAAAAAGCCGACTGTTCTTGTTGTTGGCCGTGTTAATTGTCCAGCATTGTGAGCGTGGACGTGAAGAGGTCGGGTGCCATTAACAATCTTAACAACGATCCACAGCCGCAGCGATCCCACGGCTTGTCGCCTTGTTTCTCGAGCGGTTTTTTATGCCATTTACGGAGAAATCTTGCAACAAATCAGGAGCTCCCTTTTCCAAAGTAAATATGAGTGTGCGTGTGAGATGGGCGACCTACCTTTATTCGTTTGATGTTAAAAAATTGTTCAACCTTTTGCCCCCTAGTTTTGTCCATCTCTGTGAACCTGTGACGACGCAATTCCTTGCCATTATCAGCTGCATCCTTACAGGTCCTGCTGCACTAGTTCTCCTTCCCCGTCCCCCGATTCCCGATTCAATTTGGCTTTTATTGGGATCTCGGGCATCCCGATCCTAATTGCGGTGGCAATAGCTCGGCGGTTAATCACTCTGTACCTGCGGCTTAGACAGTCAAACCCCGCAGTCAGTCATCGCGGCGAAGGCGGACTTGGATGGTATATGGTCCTGCAAATGGATCGACCTCGATTTTCACCAGCCAAATTGCGGCTTTGTGTTTACCTTTTCCCATTTGCCGGTGGATACATTTCTGGGCCGGATCGTTATCTGGTTCCCTTTGTGCTTTCAAGGTTTATGGTCTAGCACACACATATACGCTATATTTCCTATGAGAACAAATCCCAGGCTTGAGGATGACCCCCGTAAACCCAAGCAACGAACATCCCGACTAACAGCAACAACATTCCACTAAGTACTCATTTCCCCTGCTCCTTCCGTTTTTTTTTTGGGGGGCAAACTCACAGTACTGGCACAGCCTGGAAAATCTACATAATGACAGGGCCATCCCGAAAACTAGTTCAGATCGCAAATTACGAACCGGTAAGGGATGGCATGGGATCTATTCGATTGCAGTTCCCATTCGGGACACAGGGCGCAGGACGCAGGACAGGACATCAAACGCAACGGGTGACGCGGCAGTTGAGGTTCGGCAAAGGTCATGTCAGGACTTTGCATAAAATATTTGAAAATGTTTTCATTATGGTAAGTAGACACAAAAGCCCAACACACGAGCGATTCCCACCGAAAGGGGTGTCCTTTCCCAGCCCATCCTGTGCCCAGAGGATCTTGGCATATATTGGTGATAAATTAGTTTAATGTTTGGAACACCAAACTTCTGAAGGAATAAAAAACAAAACTAAAAAGACACTCGACCGCAGCTGAGGCGGCAAAGCTTGGCAGGAAAAATCGTCTTACCATTTTGGCGGCATTTTTCGACATGTACGTGTCCGCCGAAATGAACTCGAATCCTGGCAACTAATGAACTGCGCAAACAATGACCGACTCTTTAAGGAAAAAACTACATAAAAATCACGTTTGGGAAATTTTCACATCGCTGATTTTAAATGGAAAAAAATACACACTATGGCTGGACAGTGCAGGACAAGCAGAAGATCAGGACATGACACAATTGCAGGTCGCCGGACAATTGTTGCACTCACGCACGTGCAATGTTCCTCTGGATCTGTGGATTTCGAAGTCGAGTGCGCAGGGCCACGCCCATTGTCATATAGCCGACCATATAGTGAGTTTACTGAATGAAGCGAACAGAGTTACGAGTTACTTTGAATAGCGATAGCCTCATTGGCAAGTGGATCAGATCCGGCGACAAAGGACATTGTGTCCTTTGTGTTGCGCCTTGTTGGGGGTGTGCGGTGTTGTTGCAATTTTAGTGTAATTTTATTGTTATTAATTGTATGAAATGGGTTTTTAAATGGCCTTTGTTCTGCGGCGAATGAATGGGCATGCGCACAATTAAGGGAATAGTAAAAACGTGTCTTATTCAAGGTATGTAATATCATATGTTTTTTAAGGCGGGACAAATAAATCTTGTAATTGTAACAAGAGTTTTATTTGTTTCCCCGCATTTTTAGACAGTTTGTAGGTAAACTTTAAAAAAAAAAAAGGACTTTTTACGATTAACACACTTTGATGAAGGTTTTTAGGATCTTTTCTTTTAAAAACAAAAGAAAAACATTCAAAGGTAAACTGATTTTTAAGTCGTCCCAAATAAATTAAAGTACTTAGTGAAAAATAATACAATAACTGGCAATATGATCATGTTGAGAGTATTCAAAGGAGAGTACTTCTAAGGTTAAGCACACAAAGTACTCAAGATGAAACCGCTCCAAGAAAAACAGCAGTAGCCCTTAGAAATATGACCAGAAGTGTTTAAAATTCAAGAATTTTAAGGTCAAACCCTAAGAAAACCACAAGATACCTTCGAGTAGTACTTTCAAGTCGCCTCTCAAATTAAACAGAAGTTACTTCCCATAAAGGATTCCTTGGTCCGAGTTCTCCTTTCACCAATACCCCCTTGGATGCCATTCTCTCGCCTTTTCTGATACACTTTTTGCCCTTTAAGCCGATTTCCGCACAGCTTCCTATCTGGCTGCTGTTTGTTTAACACTTACTTCAAGGATCTCGCGAACCAGAACGATGATTTTTTACGGCAGGCACTTAAAAAATATGGATGAAAACAATAACCAGAGTCGAGAAACCTGTTACAATGCCTTGCATAACAGGGTAAGCCCGTGCAGAGCGCGGCAGGTAACTCTTCGGGGAGTTGAGATCGCTTCGAGAGGCTTGTAATTCATATTTTCCAAACAATTTCTCTACGCAATTTTAACACTTTTGTCCGGCATAATTTCTAGGTTTCGAATCCAACCGAACACACTCATCCTTTGTCCGCGATGCTCGAGTATAATGAAAACCCTCCGGTGCTTGAGAAAGCCAGGCGGGGGCTCGAATGGTTTTTGAAGAGGCCGCGACTCCGTCGTCCCTCACTGTGTCACCCAAATGCGTTCCAGGAATATATCTCAGAGATAGAGCAACAACCATTCAATAAATGATTCTGGTCAATGGCAGGGAGTGGCCAGTAAATCCCATTCAGAGATGACCCGAGAACGATAAAACCCGACTATGCCGGAATGCGGTTGAGCCTGCCGCCTATACTTTTATTTATAAATTCATTTGGTTATTTCTAAGAATATTCCATGGATACTTAACCTTTTTTTTATATAACTGTTTCGATACGAAAAACATACTCAACATTCACAAGGCAGCTGCGTGATATGGTGCAATATATAGGGTTAAACTTTTATGGTATTGACTTTGAAAACACCCTTGCAAATCCTACAGATATAATGCTTTCAAAAAAAAATTTTCTATCAAAGATCAAGGTTTCTTCCCCAAATAACTAATGTAAGCATGGGATAAAATTTTAATATTTAAAATAAAAAAAATCATATGATACAATATCAAACAACTCCCATATAAAAAGGAATTTATAGGGAAACACATGATCGACAATGAATTCCTTTATGCGGGTATAAAAATATGTTAAGTCAGCAAAACAATATGCTGTTATCAAATAAAAATAAAACTATGTATAGAAATTTAGATGCCCTTCAAAAAGAGAAATACGAAAAGAGAAAAGTATATAAACATAAATTTGAAGTAAGCTTTGGGTAAAATTAAAAAATTGGGTATTGTTCAATGACATTAAGATGGAAAAACCAATGGAACAAAATGTTGAGAGCTGAAAAAGGGTATTCACTAGCTTTATGATTGGGTCAATTGAAGCTAACTCTCAGATATATATATAACACATAATTTGATTCATTCAGAAACCAAAGCACGCGCCAGGCTTAGTAAATATTGAAAGAATCAGAAAATCAAATAAAATGAAATAAAATGTGCACAAATGTATGCAGATACATATATGCATGGTATACTGTATGTGATAAGTCTGCATAAATTGTCGACTGGAATTGTAGCGAATTGTTTGACGAACGAAACGGGGAAATTTGAGGAGACGAGTAATTCCACAGTGAGCACGTCGCAGTCATTTCCGTAGTAAGATAAAATATGATTTGCAGATACACACATGTGTTGTTGTGGCTCCCCATTATTTACACACTCTCGTCTCGGGAGTGTATCATCTGGTCATATGAATATCTCTTTTGGCAGTTCCCCCAAGGTCGGCCTTCAAAAGAAGCGCCTCCATTCGGGGGCATCGCAGTATTCGCTTTATGTTCCATTGATAAGAGGCGGCAAATAACGAAACGGCAGTTATAAAGCAATCAAAAATCCGTTTCTTCCATTCATAAAAACTCGGTTTATCAGTGCTGCACACATGCGGGTTAAGCGGCCAGTGGGGGGTTAAAGCGGGGGGCGTATTTTCTGACGATATTTTGGTGACGTCACTTGAGTGCAGCTGGCGCTAATTTGTTTTTTTGTTTCACTGTATTTCGTGCACTCGCTTCAGTTTCCGTTTCTGCATAACCCGCAGACTCACATTTCCTCTGGGATTTACACAGAAAAAAAAACTGATCATTTCGAGCATAATTTTATGGCATCAGAATGGGATAAACTACTGGTTCATATAAAAAATATATAAAAAAGACTTTTATAGGTATTCATTTGACCATTATAATTATAAAATTATGTTTTTTTGTTACAAAAATTATTCTCAGTGCAGCCCTCTGTTAGCAAGTTATCCTATCACACTCCCCTGACCACTGA